AAATGTAGTGAAAAAAGATGCAGAACAGCACGTATACGTAATATAGAGGGGAAATGTGTATCTCCTTTACATATAGAAGGGAAATAAAAAGTTTGAAGAACAAGCCATGCTCACTCGTTTATGCATTCATTGGCTGTGAGTGTTTTCATATCCTAAAAGCTGAGCCCAGCCGTTGTGACAGACCGGGTATTACTATCTGCCTTTTCTTCTCAGACCCTCTGCTTCAGGGGATCAAGGAGGGAGTAGTTGGCATAGGGATTGGCATAGGAACGATACTTCTCCACTGAGAGCTTTTGTATGTTGTTTTTCAGAATATGTGAATGCATAACTAAGCAAAAAAATTTTCTTTTAAATTTTAACCCACCACCCACTGGAACTAGTCTTTTAGATATTGCCGATCTGAGCCGTCTGCTGATCTCCGCCTCGTGGTCTGCTTGGTTTATTAGGAATCTTCAAAAATCCATCTCGACTCTTTGGCGGCAGGAGCCCATGATGCTGCCCAAGCCTGGGATCTATTACTTCCCCTGGGAGGTCAGTGCTGGCCAAGTTCCTGACGGGGGCACACTGAGAACTTTCGGCAGGTGAGAGTGATGATTTTTTCTCAAGGTGGGGGGATGTTTAAGTGGCCTAGTTCCATGCCACTTAAAGATCCATGTATGGATCTCTCCAAATAGATTATTATTATCCCTCTAAATAGATCCATTTTATTTTATTGCATAGATATACCATAATTTATTTAAACCACAAGCCGTTTACTTAACCACACTCTATCGAATCTCAACAAAAACATCAACGTAACAGAATGGGGAAAGGATAGTCATTTCCTCAAATGTTGAACGACAAGCGTTTCATTTGTTTATCCCTTCGGCAGTGTTACTGAGCAAAGAAAAGGAGCAAACTACTCATTTATCCGATAACATAAATGCATCTCAAAACTATTATGCTGAGTGAAAGAAGCTAGACACAAGAGAATACATGCTATTATCAAATTCCATTTATATGAGATGCCTGAGTAGGAAAACTCGTATGTAAAGACCATAAGCAGATCAGTAGTTGCCTGGGCTGGGAGATGGAGAGACCGACTTTCAGAGGGGCACAAGGGGACTTTCTGGGGTGACAGAAATGTACTCGACTGCGGTGGTGGTTTCGCAGGTGGAGACAGAAAACAGTTATTCTGATTTGTTGCTGCTATTTTTATCTTGTCTCATCAGAGTAAGGCTGACCATTTTCCCTTGGATTTACTGACCCCCAAAACCTTTTAAGCTTCGTGGCGGTTGCGTCTATGGATAGAAACGATCACACTTTCTCTGCCTTCCAGGTTGTGCCTCTATGACATGACCCGGTCCCGAGTCACCCTGATGGCTCAGCATGGATCTGACCAGCACCAGGTCCTTGTCTGCACCAAGCTGGTGGAGCCGTTCCAAGCCCAGGTGGGCTCCCTGTACCTTGTCATCGGGGAGCTTGGGCACCAGCAGGGTAAGTGGGGGCCTCGCACACGCTTTATCACTCTGGGGGGCAGTCCTTCGGTGACTTGGTTAGGACCGAACCTGGCTTCTGACCCAACAGGAGTCCCGCCCCAGGGTTAACATTTCTTTCAGATCAGCCCGAAATTTCAGAGCCTCCTCGGGAACGTGTGATTGGGCTCAGAGCCTACCTGCCACAGGGAAGCGAGAGAGAGGGGAGAGAAACCCTTAGTTTCCGAAGGCCTGGTACTGGGAGGTTTCCCTCCATCTTTTTGAAGCTACTCACCAGCCCTTAATCTGGGTGTTTATTATGGCTAGTTCATAGATTCGTAGGTGAGAAAACCAAGGCTCAGAGAGGATGGGGCTGGAACAACCTTCTGGGAAGACAGGGTAAGAGAAACAGAACACAAGAGAAGGCAGAGAGCGACATGGGAGAACCCCTGGCCTGGAGAGTTGAAGGCTGCCCTTGAAAACCCAGCTACTCACTTGCTTTGCCTCCCTGTCTAGCCCTCCCTGTGCCATTTTCCTTCACACGGTCGAGATCATACTATGTAATGTTGGATCTGGTTATTTTGGGTTAACATTACGTCTTAAGTATTTCCCCATGCCTTCAGACTTTTTCTAGATATAGTGTTTAATGGCTATATAATATTTTATAGATTAGATGGGTGTCCTCATTCACACGACCATTGGACATTTATATTGTTTCCGATGTTTGCCCTTATAAGCACACCGTATAGTTATAATTAAAGAAATTAAGATATCGTCCGTAGAATATTATGCAGCCATTAAAAATGATGTAAATTTATACTAATTGACAAGAGAGGTTTACGAAATGTTGCTAAGGAAAAGCAGTTTACCAAACAATATGTATCGTTTAATCCCATTTTTGTTTAATATACATTTTTTACATAAATGTAAAGTTTTTACATTTCGTATGTAAAAGTTTGAAAGATCATTTAAGCAAAACGTTAATAGTTATTTCTGGGTGATGGGATTATGGAATTTTTTTATAGTTTTATTAGCATTTTACAATGAAAATGTACTGCTTTTATAGCCAGAGTGGGGAAAGTGTTTTTCAATATCTATCTAGATATATATTAAAAATACTGCAGTTAATATCCTCGTACACTAATCTTTGTCTATTTTCTGGTTATTTCTTTAGAGTAGTTTCCTAAAAGTAGAATTGCTAGGGTACAAACATTTATGTTTCTTGATTTACACTACCAGCTTACTGTCTAAAAGTCACAGCGATTTTTAACTCTAGATGAAATGCACTAGGCAAAAAAGTAATTAATGGTGCTTACTTTAATTATATTTAATAAAAGTTAATCATTATTCAGGCTTAAGCCTTGACATTGACAGAGTTCCTGCCCTCATAATTGATTTGAGAGAGGTATCAGGAAGAGGGGTGGGACTAGAGGCAAAGGGCCTATGCGTGAACGATTTTCTCTTTGGCCGTGGCCCAAACCCTCTGAGGTTCTCTCCTCCACTCCTGGCCCCTCAGTAAGCCCTAGGAGCTCCGGGAAACCGACTGACCAGTGTCTGAACCTTCAGGCCTGATAGCGGATACAGGGGCAACTTGAAACTGAGATGGGACAGCAGGCTGGGACAAGGGCAGGACCCGGAGTGGACATTTAGAATTATTTGTGGGAAGAAAATGAAAAAAAAACTTTAAATTCAGCCCATGTAAATTTTTTAATTTACTGTGTTCATCTCAAATGTACACAAACAGGGAATGGTAGACTGCACCTCCACATTTCCATCGCCCAGACTCAGCGGTGACCCCTGTTCCACTGCTCTATGTCACCACTGCCTACCTTCATCTGTTTATCTCGCCGGTGTGTTTTAAAGCAAATATAAAATGTTGACTCATTTTTACCCGGGAATCCCTCAATACGTATCTCTAACATCACTACAGTTACATCCAACAAAATCAAGAGCTATTTCTTATATGATCGAATACCTTGTCCATGTTCATTTTCACCCAGTTGACTAAAAAAAAAAAGAAACAAAGAAAAAAGATGAGTTTTTACAACTCGCTAGTTCAAATCAGGATCCCAAAGTCGGTACATTGCCTTTGGGTCAAATGTCAGCCAGTCATCAGTCATGCCCTGTGACGAGGTTGGCATTTCTGAGGAGTGACTAGAGTCCGCCTACGGGGACCTTGCTGAAATGTTTGCACAGAGAGCTTGCCGAGAAGATAGGAAAGGTAAAGAAATGTCAGCTGTGTGCCAAAACTCGCTGGCTGTGTCACTTTTGGGCACCATTCAGGGGTCCGAGGGCTTCCTGTTCAGGGATGGAGGTGTTGGGGCGCGGCCTCTCCCCACTCTGCTCCCACATAGAATTCTCGAGTAGAAGGTCACTTGCCTACAGTACGAGGCTGCCCTACAGTGCTCTCCATAAGCCCCCTAAATCCCCCGCCCCCTTCTGGTTTCTTCCTCCTTCAAGGGCCCTCTCGTTGTGTCCTCTGGGACCTTTGCTCTTCCATCTTTGAGCCTCCTTCAGGGACCTGCCGCTACACGCCTTCGCCTTCTGTGGCCAGCCGGTTCTGTCACCATGCCATCCATCCCACTTCTTCTTCCTTCGCCCACGACTCCTCCCAGAAAGTCCCACCTCTGCTACCTGAGCTGGTGCCAGCTCTACACTCCTTTTGTTCTGTCTCTTCGCTCTCAGCCCCGGCAGGACCCTTGGACTTCGGACTCTGCTGTGTTCTCCCTTCATCCGTCCCTCGCTCACTTTGCTTTCCTCCCCGCACGCAGCTGGACCTCACTGTCATCTCCCCGCTTTCCTCCAGGCCCTCGCCCTCCCTCCCGCCTGGTTGAACCCTCTTGGATCCCACCTGACCGTTGATGGAGAAGGTTCACAAGGCTCAGTGTTCCCCGGCACAGTGATTTCAAGGGTTCTTATCTCGCCGGAGCCCCCCATGTTGCCCAGAAATCCTCCCACGTGTCCCTGTCTACCCCCTCTTCCGGGATCCACACACCTCTTTCGGGCAGTCACCTCCTACTTCGTCACCTCCCCTGGCCTTTTCACCCATTCTTCCCTCTCAGCATGTAAGGCACTCGAGCCTCTTCCATATTAAAATAATAATGATCATGATAATAATGCCCTCTTCTGCTCCGTATCCCTTACCCAGCTGTGCCCCTCCTCCCCGTCACAGTCAAACTTCCTAAAACAAGGTCCGTTCTCCATCTCACCTCTCCCTTATCTCCCCGCTGCCTTCGGACTGCTCATAACTCAGTCCCTTCTTCTCGCTCTAAGGTCTTGACCTTTGCAAGAAGAGATCCCCTAAAGGGGTTTCTCTAGCTGTCTTGTTCCTGACCTCCTATCGCCCTTCCCTACAGCACTTCTGCAAACGCTGTTCCTTTCCCACCGTGGAGCTTTTGCAGATAGGCTAACAGAGTCGCCCAGTTTGGCCCTTGCGATAATCACATTTCTAAAACTCACTTCCAAATTTAATAACCGTGAATTGTCGTTCCCAAGAAGCAACGTGTTCCACCATATAAATCTAGAAGGGAGGGTTTCCCCAGGCGGAGGGGAGGAAAGAGCTGATAGGCATTAACGTAAGGAAAGGGCTCTGAAATTAGGATGAATAACTAAGAAAACCTTCATACGGGCAGTTTGGAAACTTTGGGCGGAGGACCCTATTTTGAGATTTTTAACTGCAGAGTAGACTTCCTGATTTTTGTCCTTGCTCTCCTGTGTCGTCCTAAACGCATGCCGCTGCTCTGTGAAAACTGTTTAGGGCTCCATGGGTCACAAGAAAAGGTCTAGGCCTCTCGGTGCCAAGAGAAGTTTAGGCAGATACCCTGTTTGATTGATCAGTATAGCCCAGCTATTCCTGAAGAGGCCTGAGGGATGAGAATCAATAGTCTACACTGATCAGTAGATCCACATATTGTCATATGCCCACTCCACTCCAGGCCATGCGGTCTCTGCAGCTAGCACCGGGGCCAACAGAAGCTGACAACACATAGGTGACCTCACATTTCAAATAAGTTGACCTTCCTGTGTTGAAGGCTGGAACTGACGACATTCCACACTCATAATTCTGCCGCTGGGGCTGTGATTAAAGTGGCCTAGACTAGAAGGAATTTGGGGATAGATTTTATTGAGCCAGAGAACCTCTTATCTCAAAACTGCATCTAAACACAGGATAATGTCCGAGAACAATGAATGTATTCACTGACATGCCCAGAGAGCAGAGAGAACATGAATGAACAAAACAAACAGAGCAAACCCCAGATGTCTTTCCTGGTTGATGTCACCTGAACATTGACAAATCTTTCCATCAGGTCACCACAGCATCTGCTAGAAGCTCCCCTAGCTCTTCGTCCAGGGTGGGATGACTTGTCCCCTATAAGGCTAAAGTCTCCTCTCGGATTTATTAAATATGGGGCTCTCTTTGCCTTGATTTCCAATGCCTCTGGGTCCCAGGATATCCAGGGGGTCCTTCCCTTGGGACAGATGGAGAACTGGGGTGATGATCGAGACCCCCCTCCTCAACCCCAGGCACTTGGGCCCTACAGAGAAGGTGGTAGGAATTACATCTTTCTGGCTCTTCCTCCCTGGAGAAGTGGACTTTTCAGGCCGCCCCCTAAGTTCCAGACATGTGCTCGAAGTGTATGGTGGACCCACAGTGCTGAGGCCCAAGCAGATAAATCGCCCGTGTCCATGTGCCGTCCTCCTTGCCGGCACCTGTTGAACTCGTCGTATCCAAACCTGGGACTGAGAACAGGTGGAGGGTCGGCAGCTGGAATGCATTGGCCTCTGCCTGTGTCTTTCAGACGGCGGTTCCGTGGTGAAGGCCCGGGTGCTGACCTGCGTGGAAGGAACGAATCTTCCCTTGTTAGAACAAGCCATCCAAGAGCAGAGGGCGTACCAGCGTGAGAGGGACAGCCGCCACTAGGACACGGCGGCTCCTGGGGACCCCCACCCAACCTACTGGCGCCACGCCTACTGGAGACCTGGGAGCTGCTGCAGAGAAGACTCGGGGACCAGGGGCTTCCTCTGAGTGACAGCGGTTTCTGGAGCCCGAGAGAAGAGGGGAGGGGTTGTCCAAGAAACGGGAGCATAGAGAGCAGGCGCCAAAGCCTGACACCCCCCACCCCCACCCCCACCCCAGGAGACCGCAGGAAGCCGAGCTCTGGGGTGCTGGCGGCTGTGCCTCCTGTCGGGTAATGGAGAGTTCCAGAAGGTCCTGGTGAATAAAGCCCCAGTGGCAAGACCTGGCTTTGTGTGCGTGTGGTGCAGCGCAGGTCCAGGCCAGGAGGGGGAGCCGTGGAGCAGGCAGCCTGCCTGGCGGTGAGGCTGCAGAGCACCGGTTTCTGGTGAATTCTGGGCTGTGGGCCTGAGGGGACGGGGCTGGGGGCTCCAGGGCCCAGGTGGGGAGCCCAGGACGCAGGGGGACCGACCCCACTGAAGTTCTGCCCTCAGAGGAAGCCGGGCATTACCAAACGGGCCGGGCCCAGTCCCTCGTCCTGGCCCTGCGGCCTAGCGCTGAACTCTGGCTTCAGAAACCCTACCTGACCCCCGACCTCTGCCCCGATTTGACCCCGACCCCCAGGCAACCCATCTAGGCAGCCTTCAGCCCTAGAGCCTGGGCCTGGCTGGGCAAAGGCAGGGGCTGCGGCGTGAGAAGTTTGGGCCCTCCTGCGCTCCGTAGCCCGGCACTTTCCCGGCTGGGCACTGGGCAGGGGGCTGGGGGTTCCTGCCTGGCCTGGGCTGGGCCAGGGACCACCCTGCTCTGAGCCAGGTTTCCAGGGTTGGGGTGCGGTGGGGGCCGGGGCAGGAGCTGTGCCTGAGCCCGGGCGTCCGGGCAGGCAGAGCAGGGCGAGCCCTGTGGGCCAGATGCCTCAGGACCCAGGAAGCCTGGGCAGGAGGTGTGGTGGGGGGTGGGTTCCAGGGAGGCCGGAGGGTCCAGCTGGGGCCCTGGGGATGGGGGCGAGTGCCCCAGGCGCCGTCTGTTTTGCAGGCAGCTCTTTGGACATGGACGCATTCCAGAAGGTAGAGAAGATCGGAGAGGGCACCTATGGGGTGGTGTATAAGGCCAAGAACACGGAGACGGGGCAGCTCGTGGCCCTCAAGAAGATCAGGCTGGATTCGTGAGTGCTGGGACACCCCTCCCAGAGGGGACCCCCCCAGGCCGCAGCTCCCCCTTCCATCATTCAGCTCCTTTTCCCCGTGCGGCCCGGTTACACCGGGGCGACCACAAAGCTGCAGCCCTCGCTCGTCCTCGCTCTGACCAGGCTTTGCCCCCCGCCCCCGGTGGGGGTAAGTGTGGGCCCAGCAGCCCGGCACCCCATCGCCGAGGGATGGGCCATCTTCACGGAATAAGAAACGTGGGGAGCTCTCCCCAGAGCAGAAGGGCCCTACCTGGCTCCCCGCCTCCACTGCTGTTCGCTTCCTTCCTGTAGGGAGACCGAGGGGGTCCCGAGCACTGCCATCAGGGAGATCTCCCTGCTCAAAGAGCTGAAGCACCCCAACATCGTCAGGTGAGGTGGGGGAGGAGGCAGGGAAGTGGGCCCATCCCGGTCCACCTGGGGGCCGCATGCTGACTGGTGTCACCTGGCCAGGCTGCTGGACGTGGTGCACAGTGAGAAGAAGCTGTACCTGGTGTTCGAGTTTCTCAGCCAGGACCTGAAGAAGTTCATGGACTCCACCCCGGCCTCCGAGCTCCCCTTGCACTTGGTCAAGGTACCGAGTGAAGGACGAGGTGGGACCGGCTCGGGCAGCCCCACTGCCGCTCGGCCAGCTCCTTCTCACGCTCGCTGTTCCAGAGCTACCTCTTCCAGCTGCTGCAGGGCGTGAATTTCTGCCACTCCCATCGGGTCATCCACCGAGACCTGAAGCCCCAGAATCTGCTCATCAATGAGTTGGGTGCCATCAAGCTGGCCGACTTTGGACTGGCGCGAGCCTTCGGGGTCCCCCTACGCACCTATACCCATGAGGTGCAGCAGGACAAAGGGATGAGGAGGGCGGCCGAAGGGGTGTCACCTGTGCCCTCGGCCACCCTGAACGAGGCTGCTTTCTTGTTGTCCCCACAGGTGGTGACACTCTGGTATCGCGCCCCCGAGATCCTTTTGGGCAGCAAGTTCTACTCGACAGCTGTGGATATCTGGAGCATTGGTTGCATCTTTGCAGAAATGGTAGTGAGAGGGACAGACATGGCCGCAGGGAGGCCACAGGCTGGGTCCTACTGGGGTGGGAAGTGGGAGGACTCTGATCCTCCTGTGAGAGGTGGATTAAGGGGTGTTTGGGACTTGGCTAAAGGGCTGAGGAAGCCGGTCTGATTCCAGAAAGGCCAAGATTCTTAGCACAGCCCTGGGAAAGATATCTGGAAGGCACATCCCTGGTCTGGCCTCTGATCTGGTTTGGATTCTGAATGATAGGGGGAAGCTGGGCCTGTCCCTGTCCACATGGGGGCTGCATCCCGACTGGCATCACCCGGCCGGGCTGCTGGACGTGGCGCTGTGAGAAGCTGTACCTTCTCTTCTTCCCCATTTCAGGTGATCCGCAGAGCCCTGTTTCCTGGCGACTCTGAGATCGACCAGCTCTTTCGTATCTTTCGCACCCTGGGGACACCCAGTGAAGCCGTGTGGCCAGGGGTCACCCAGCTGCCTGACTATAAGGGAAGCTTCCCCAAGTGGAACAGGAAGGGGCTGGAGGAGATTGTGCCCAATCTGGAACCTGAAGGCCAGGACCTGCTCATGGTAGGTACAGGTAGGTGGCCAGGGAGGGCGAGAAAGGCCACTCGACTCCAGCTGCCGCTCCAACCAGAAGCGTGTCCTTTCTTACCAGTGCCTTATGTAACCCTGGCTCCTTCCGCGCCCAGGCTGGTTGACCCTTGTACACAACTGTGCGTGTTGCTGTCCCACCTGGATGCCTCTCCTGTGATAAGATTGTTGCTCATCTTCCCTTTTCAAGCTCTCTCTTCTAGCTAGCTTTGTCATCATGCTGCGATTCTTGCCCTTTTGTCCTAAATTGCCTTGCGTTTCCGGTCATTTTCTTTGGGGACATTACTGCCCCATCGAGGCTGCGCGCGTCCCCAGGCAGGGACCACACTCCGACTGCCTCAGTATTGCCTGTTCCCTCGGCGCTTCCCGCAGTGGCCGCGCTACACCAGGCTGCTCAGAGCAGGCTGTCCCCTGCTGCCGGAGTCCCTGCCACAGTCCTCACGCCCCTCTCCTGTTGTGCCATCCTGACCCCTGGGTCCGGCCTAGGCCAGACTGCCCAGAAGGCCTTGGGCAGAGCCGTCCGTTCTCACCCACGAGGACCCGGAGCCAAGGTTCTCCCTTTGATCTGGTGCTGGTTCTCCCTTTGATCTCCTTTTGAGGGAGGCTGGGCAGTGTTTTCCTCCTCTGGCTCCGCATCCTGCTTGGCAGAACTGTGTGTGTGTTTGCCGGCCCCAGGCCCCAGGACAGCACAGACTTCCAGCCAAGCTCGTAGGCAGAGCTCAGTCCTGGCTGTTCAGAGTCCTGGCTGGTCGGAAGCGGGGGCGGGTCCTTGCACAGCCTGGCAGGGTTTAAGGACTCAGAGTTCCTGCAAGACCCTCAGGTGTGCTCCCTGGCAGGTTTGGCCCCTACTTCTGGATACACAGAGAGAAGTGTGTTTCAACCAGAGGTAGGGTGGGCCTGGAAACCTCACTAAGGAAGAAGAGAGGCAGACTCGGCCTCAGTAGCATGAAGGAGACCAGTCTGACTCAGCGGGGCTGGACCAGAGCTAATTGTTTGTCTCCATATCCCGAGAGTGTCCAGAACTGGCTCCCGAGCTGGGAGGCAGTGGCTTCCTGCAGTTCTGGGTCTGGAGGCAGCTCTCAGGGGCCCTGCAACCCAGAGAGCTTGTTCCTCTCCCCACCCTGGCCACACCCGGGCCCAATCTCTTTCCTCCAACCCCCTTCCTTCGCAGCAACTCCTACAGTACGACCCTGACCAGCGGATTTCAGCCAAGACCGCCCTTGCCCATCCATACTTCTCGTCCGCTGAGGCCTCCCCGGTCCCCCACCAGTGTGTGCTGGAGCGTTTTTGCCGCTGAGAACATGTGAGGCCACTGTCTTGAAGCCTCTCCCCAGCGGCTGCCCCAGCCACCTCCCCACGCACTTGCTGAGAAGGACAACATCTGGGAGAGGGCAAAGCTCTGAGGAGTTTGGCGTCAGCCATCGGAGGGCTGAGTTTGGGTTAGTCCTGCCCTAGGTTAGCGAGTTCCTGTGTTGTTTTTTGGGTTGGATGGCGCCGTTTCAAGATGGGGACACAGAAGCTCAGTGCATGAGGGGGCACGTTAGAGACTGGGTCCCCTGGCACTGGCACAGGTGCCCAGCAGAGCAGGAAGCCTGCTGGGGCCGCAAGCGAGGCCCTCATCCGACCTTCACCTGCCCAGCCCTCAGCGGCTGTGTCAGATCCTGCGGGAAAGGGTGCCCTCTGCTGGTCTTTTTGGATTTAAAATGTTTTGGGGAAGAGTTGCGTTCCAGTGAAGAGTCAGTCTCCAGTTAAACAGGAAGCAGGGTGAGAGCGAGAGGGGACATTTTCCTGGTCCCAGGGGAGGTCGGGGTGTGCGTGGCTGTTGTGCGCAGTTGTCACCCACAGTATGCTTACATTTGTTTGCCTCTGGCGTTAACGGGAAATAAAAGCCATGCACTCTGAGATTTCCCGTCTTTTTCTGTTGAGAGGAGTGGGCAGCGGGCACTGGCCGGTCCATGATCTCCTTCCGTGACCTGCCTCCCAGAGTCTAAGGAGCCTCGCCCTCTGAGAGCCCCCGTTTCGTAGGAGGGCCAGTGGGCATGTCCGTAACCCCCGGGCAGGACTCGGCATTGGTGCACCTTGTCCCCAAGGCCCAGACAAATCCATTCCACGCCCCCAAAATGAGAGCAAGACACTGGGTCGATCGGTTTATTGGCAGTACTAGGCGGGGGAGGAGGGAGGGAAACAGGGCTGCTGATCACCAGGTCGGGGATGGGCGGGCACCAACTTAAGGGGCGGGGGCCCAACACCGTGAAGCTGAGTAACAGAACGGCCATCAGACAGAGGGAAAGCCTACCCCTACCCCCTGGGTCAGGCGGCTCTGGGGGTGAGGGGTGCACGCATCCTCCCCTCGCCCCTCACGCACTCTCCCCATGACTGCTCGGCCCCCGTCAGCGCAGGGCGCGGGGTACGGTGGGGGAGGCTGAGCGGTAGCAGCGGTACCCCTCCAGGGCAGCAGGGAGGAGCAGCAGGCCGCTCAAGGGGTCTCTGCGGCAGCGTGCCATGGCCTCCCTGTAGCTCAGCCGCTCTTTGGAGATGGGGTCTGTCAAATCCTTCTCGTAGCTGGACTCATCCTGCAGGAGCTGCGCCAGCTCTTCACTGACCATTCCGGAGAGCACGGCCTGCGGGGTGGGGATGCGGCCTGTCCTCCTGGGGTCGATGAGCCCCCCGGTCAGATGCTGCACCTGCAGGTGCGGGAGCGCGCTCTCCCGTGGCATCCAGCCTTTCTGGATGGCCTCGCCCACCGACAGCCGCTTCTTGGTGACGGGGTCCTCGATGCCGGTGAAGGCCTTCTGGGCGTTGAGCAGCCTCTGGGTCGAGGTGTTCTCGATCAGCCCCCTCTCCAGGGCTTTGTGCACGGAGTAGCGCTCTCGGCTCAGGAGGTCTATGATGCCCCCCGTGGCCGCCTGGGCCTCCAGCAGCTTCTGCCCGGTGATGGGGTCCAGCATGTTCTTGGCCATGGCCGTCTTGATGGTGCACTTGTTGTCTGTGGTCGTGTCGTAGACCCCGGCAATGGGGAAGCTGTCATCGCCAAGCCCGAGAGAGAAGCTGGGAGAGAAGAAACCGGAGCTCTGGGGGGCTGGCGAGGCCACTGGGGATTTGGAGATGATGGAGCCGATGGAGAGCGAGGGGCAGGGCTTGGTCTCCCCGGCCACGAGCAGGGCGAACTCGGAGATGGGCAGGTGGCCGTCCTTGTAGAGATGGTACTCCTCCTTGGAGATGTGCCGGCAGCGCAGGGCGGCCTCGATGGAGTACTGCTTCCCGCTCTTGCGGTCCAGCAGCACCGACTCCTCCCCACAGGGCCCCAAGGTGGTGACCTCCTCCCAGTCACACTCGAGCTCCTGCAGCTGGAGGTACTGGCCTCGATCGATGATGCCTCTCTTGTAGGCCTCATACGGGGACATGTCCTTCCCCGTCTCCGGTTCCAAGATGGAGATCTTGGTAGAGAGGTTGGTCTCTCGTGTCTGGGTCTCCTGGTTGAGCTGCTCCCGGCTCACCTTGGTGTGGAGGTCCCGGAGGGTCCTCTCCTTCTCGTAGATCTGGTCCTTCTCGTGGAGGATGGCCGCCTCGAGCTGCGAGAGTTCCTGGCCCTGCTGGGCCGCCTTCTGCCGCTCGCTCTCCGTCTTCTGGCTGAGCAGCTTCGACTCCTCCTGCAGGTGCAGCACCTTCTGCTGCTTCTGCCTCTCCAGCTCCTGCAGCTCCTGCTGCAGCTGCCTGCACTCCTGGCTGCCCTGGTTCCGGGCCTTCTGGAGCTCGGTCTCCTCCCGGCTCCAGGTCCTGCTCAGCGCCTCGGCCCTGTCGATCCACTCCCGGAGGCGCTGCAGCGCCTCCTCCTGGCCCTTCCGGGCCACGCGCTCCCTGTTGAGCATCTCCCACACCCGAGACCGCTCGCCCTCTAGCGCCCGGTCCTTCTCCACCCTGATCACCTCCTTGTAGATGGTCTTCTCTTGCGATTTGGTTTTCTGGAGGACGTCGATCTGGACCTGTAGGTTCTTGCACTCCCGATGCAGCTCCGTCACCTGGGTCTTCTCGCGGTCCAGGTCCTGCCGCAGGGCTTCCGTGCACTTCTCCAGATCCGGGTCCTTCTCCAGCTTGACCACCTCCTCCATGATGATCTTCTCCTGCACCGCAGGAGGCCGTTTCTCGAGCTCCTGGATCCGCAAGGTCAGCTGCCGCATCTCCTTCTCCATGGCCAGCTTCTTGTCGCGGTCCTCCTGGAAGCTGAGCAGGCCCTCCTTCTCCTCCACGGCGGCCAGCAGCTGCTGGACCTCCCGCTCCAGCTGCCGCCGCCGGCCCACCTCCTCATCCAGGCTCCGGCTCAGCCTGCTGTGGTCCTCGTGGAGCTTCGGGTCCTTCTGGGTGACCACCACCTCCTGCACCACCACCTTCTCCTCGGGCCGCCTCCTCTCCAGCAGCAGGTACTTGTTCTGCAGCTCGTAGACCACGTCCTCGGCGGCCCGCCGCTTCTGGGCCGCTTCCCGCACCTCCTGGCGGAGCCGCTCGGCCTCCTTCTCCAGGACGGGGTCCTTCTCGTGGCGCACCACCTCCTTGCTCACCGTCTGGGTCTCCACCTTGGACCGCTCCCGCTTCCACTGGTCGCGCTCCCCCTGCAGCCGGATGCGCTGCTCCTGGGCCCTCCCGCTGGCGTTGACCAGCTCGTTGAGCCGCACCTTCAGGCGGTCGATTTCCCGCAGCACCTCCGGGCTCCTCTCGTGCTTCACCACCTCCCGCGTCACCTGCTTGTACTCCACCAGGGGCTTCTGGGCCCGCAGGACGGCCAGGTCAGGCAGCAGCTTCTCCACCTCCTTCTCCACGCTGCCCCGCTCGCTGGCGGTCTGCTGCAGCTCGGCCCTGAGCCGCGCGATCTCCCGCTCCGTCTCCGGATCCACCTGGAAGATCTCGTGGACGCGCTCCTGGAGCTCCACTTTGGGCTTCTGCTTCTCCACCGTGCTGAGCTTGTCACGCAGCTCCTCCAGCTCCCTGGCCAGCGTCGCATTCTTACTCCTCTCCCCCTCGAGGAGGCTCCGCAGCCTGGACGCCTCCTTGAGAAGGCCTGGGTCCTGCTCCACCTTCTTCACCTCCTTCACGATCACCTTGGGCTGCACGGCGCTGATCGCCCGGCCCAGGTCTTCGATGCGCACCTGCAGCGTGGCCGCGGCCTCCTCTGCCCTCCTCCTCTGGGCAGCATCCTCCTCCACCTGCCGCCTCAGAGCCTGCACGGCCTTGACCATTTCCAGGTCCTTCTCCACCTTGACCACTTCTTTCACCACGACCTTCTCCTTCACATTGGCCTCCTTCTGCTCCAGGGCCAGCAGCTCCTTCTTGAGCCCCTCCAGCCGCGCCGACACAGCCGTGTTCTCGCCACGGAGCTGCTGGATCTCGCTGCTGAGCTGGGCCGCCTGGCTCTCCAGACCGGGGTCCTTCTCGATCTGAGTAACCTCCTTGGTCAGCAGATGAGGCTGCATGGCCTTCCTCTTGCTCTCCAGCTGGACGACCTTCTGGGCCGCCATTTCCAGGTCTGCCTGCAGGCTGGCCCGCTTCTTGCTCTCATCTTCCACCTGGGACTTCACCCTCGACAGATTGCTCTCCAGCTGTGGGTCCCGGTAGAACTCCACCACCTCCTTCTCCTCCAGCCTCTCCAAGGGCCGCTGGGTCCTCAGCTGCAGCAGCTGGCTCCTCTGCTCTTCCAGATCGTGCTGCACCTGGGCCACCCGCTTCCTCTCCTCCTCCAGCTGGGACCTCAGGGCCTCCGACTCCCTCCCCGCTTGGGCTGGGCTCCCAGATCCCTGCTGTGCGTCATGGGCCACCTGGATGTCCTCGCTGAGCTCCTTCTGCAGAGGGAGAGAAGGAAGGGAAGAGTCCTGGGGAGAGGGGGCCTTCTTCCCCTCTCCCAAGATCAGAGACCCCTCCCTGCTTCCTGACACTTCCCGGTAGGTCCCAGGACATGGAGCCGAAGACCGGAGACGCTTAGATGCAGGTGTTTTGAGAAGCCCCGTCAGTGCCATGATGTTAGGATGTGAGGCGGTGCTCAGGCCAAGTTTGTACTAGAACATGAAAATAGGACCGGTTCTCCTTTCCAAACCTTCCCCCCTTCTCCTCCATCCGGGCTCCCAGAAACGAGCCCACACTCCTCTGGGGGTGCTGGAACACGCCTCTGGGTAGGAGAAATCTGGCAAGTCCCTTGACCAGTCACTAAGAGTCATGGAGAGCTTCTGGCTCCCGGTCCCCCAGGGAGGGGACCTAGGTGGGCTCCTGCCCACTGTAGCTGGATCCTAAGGCTGAAGACTTGGTGGGGATTTTCTCTGGTCCGCACTGGGGGACTGCCCAGTGGCTAAGCTGTGACCTCCCCGAATGACATCTCCAGGGCCTAACTCTGAGATGGGGACCAGTCTGTAAGAGCTGCTGGGGAGAGACCTGGGGGGACGTAGAACCTCAGAGCTGCAGGCGGCAAAAGAAAATTGCCAGGTCGACTACGGGGCCAGGCTGCCCAGGGTGGGAACGGAGCGGGCACCCTCCCCGTACCTTCTCCAGCATCTTTCTGGCAAACTCCAGCTGGCACAGCTGCTGTTGGTGTGCAGCCGCAACCTCGGTGTAGGCTTTTGTCAGATTCTGCTCCTGGAGAGGCCAAAGGGAGGGGGAGGGAGAGCGGCGTCAGCTCCCGCCGCAGAGGCCGCAGAGCTGGTACTTGTGGACGCTGTCTCACCTGGGCCTGGATGCTCTCCTGCAGGGGAGCCACTCGAGGTCTCTTGGGGGCCGAGCCTGCCTGGGTGGGACCCAGGGAGCAGCGGTAGGTTTCTGCCTGGAGCTCGTAGTCCTGAGCAGAGAGGCAAGGACAGCAGGCTGGTGGTCAGTGGGGGAAGCTGGGGCTGGGAGATCAGGGGCCTGGCAGAGGGAGGGAGGGC